CAGAAGTTGTATGCGAAGTTCAGCAAGTGTGCTTTCTGGTTGCAGGAAGTTGGATTTCTGGGCCATGTGATTTCGGCTCAGGGCGTACAAGTGGATCCGGCAAAGATTGAGGCTGTGATGGAGTGGAAGGCGCCTACCAATGCCACAGAGATCCGCAGTTTCTTGGGATTGGCAGGATACTACAGGAGATTTGTTGAGGGTTTTGCTAAGTTGGCAAAACCAATGACAAAGTTAACAGGGAAGAATGTGCGGTTTGATTGGACACCGGAGTGCGAAGTGAGCTTTGTAGAGCTCAAGAGACGACTCACGACCGCACCTATCTTGGCATTACCACAGCCAGGTATACTTCATGAGGTGTATACCGATGCATCGAAGCAAGGCTTGGGTTGCGTGTTTATGCAGGAAGGACATGTGATTGCATACGCATCCCGACAGCTGAGGAAACATGAGGAGAATTATCCGACGCACGATTTGGAGCTGGCAGCAGTGGTACATGCGTTGAAGATTTGGAGATCCTATCTATATGGAGAGAAGGTTAAGCTCAACACTGATCACAAGAGCTTAACCTATGTGATATCACAGAAGGATCTGAATCTTCGACATTGTAGATGGATTGAGTTTGTTAGTGCAATTATTTGCACATGTGTTTTTTTTTTGTTAAGTAGTTATTGCAGGTTCAACAAGCTTGAGAGATTTCAGGAGAAGAATCCGGCGAGATAGAACTCACGCAATTCTGAGGTACAACTGACGAGTTTGAGATAAAGTCAAAGACTAAGAGATTAAGATGAACTCAATGACAACCACTTTGAGAGATTTTAGGAAAAACAATCTGAAGATATAGAACCACGAAGTTAAGCCACGAAGTTTGGATTTGACTTGAAGAGATGAAGATAGAATCAAAGCCAAGAAGATTTGAGGAGATTTGAGATAAAGATAAGATCTTGGAGATAAGGTCAAAGGCTGAAGAGATAGAGTCAAACAAGAGATAAAGATGAGATCTTGAAGATAAAGATGAAATCAAAGAAAATCAAAGAGGAGTCTATCAAATCAATTCGTGGAGATCTAAGGCGAACTGGATGAGCCTATATAAAGGAGAGAGCAAGTGCATATCAGTTCTCACGGAGAGCAAAGCATATTTTACTAAAAGAGAGTCTTTTTGTTGGTGAGTGATAACTCACTTTTGAGTGAATGTGTGTCTGAGGAAGAGACCGATTGGGCAAATCTCTTTCCTCTGGTGAGTGTTTGGGCGTGGATCTGAGGGGGAGACCTAATGGAAAAATCTCTATTCCTTTTGTGAGCGTTAATGTTTGGTAAGGTTTTTAATCGGTAGAATTCATTGTGAGAGTGAGTTGAAACTCAGGGGGAGTTTCATCTGGGTGTTGAGTATCTCTAACAAAAAGTGAGTTGTACTTGACTTTTTCTCAAGTGAATAGAACTGATTAGTTTTTCCGTTTTACTCTTTGAGGGTCCAAACTTCTTCAATATCTTTCAACATCTCATATGCATCCGTTTCCCCCAAGGTTTTAGGATCCTTCAAAACTTTTATATTAATATGATTTGGTGGTAAAAACAATCTACCTCAGCCAAAACGGCTCAATTTCATTTTTTTTCGTCCAAACAATTACTAAAATAGCCCAATTTCATTTTTTCCATCATATTTTTTTTAAAAGTCATCTGAAAAAAGAAAGGTGATGATTGGGTCACTTATTGGTATGTGTATAATTTAACCTTCTTTCTTGTTTAGTACGAGTTTAGTTTTTATTCATAGAATTAAAATGCTTATTATCTCAAGATATATTCAGTTTTTTTTCGTTTTATCCTATTTTCAAATTTCAATTTAAAAAAGAATTATATTAAATAAATTTTTATATCAAAATGACCGCAATTCGTCGTGTTCGAAGTATCTTCCCGAGGAATCAATTCCTCAATATTTTAAATTTTTTAATGGTAGTAAATCCGTCATGCAAATCCTACGTGGCACATGAATAATTTCCACGTGTGATCTTGCAACGTGTCGGACACACGTTTTTATAAGCACATCACACTTCGTAGCGAGGTTGACCAACTACGTCACCTTTACCTCTACTTATAAAAAGCTGAAACCCTCCCTTCACAATTTCATCCTTTCTTCTTTTTTTTTTTTGATAAACCATCCTTTCTTCTTGCCTTTGCCCATCTCGTCCTCTCATTCTCCATATACAAGGAAAACACGGATAATGTCTTCCATCTCGGATCCGATTTTTAGCCGGCATGATTGCGGATTTGCCCGTGTTGCTCCATCTTTGGAGAACGGCGGCGACGACGACGGCGGCGTTTATGATTATGCTCCCGCGGCATGATGTTAGCCCAAATCTATATAGCGTTTTGGCAAAGAGAATGATATCATGGGCCAGACTTGAAAATCCTCTCTTTTTAGATCAAGATTACGTGGAAGTTTGTGCTCCTTATCTCTTTAGGTAGCTTCAATACTGAACCATTATCGTGTAGTAGAATGCTCCTTATGCGATTGGTTATTACTTTCCAATGTGGATAGATATGTGAAACACCAAAGAAGGTATGTCTATCCATTTCTGCTTTCCTCCTGTTCTAAACCCGAGATCCAATTTTCGGTTTTTGCGTTTTTGGCCAGGAAAAAGTGATAAGTACACAAACGAATTTACATCGATCGGCTTGTAAAATACGCATGCAATACTCAACGTGAACTTCTCCCACAAAATTGCAATGGAGGTTGCTTTGCGAAAGGCTACAATATAGAGTCACCATTGGCCGGCGAGTTCCTCGGTTTTAGGATGCAAGAAGAACTGAAAGCGAGTTCCTCGGATTTAGATGCATCAATTCTATAACACATCTATCTACGGTTCCAAATTGAAGAAGAAGATTACACAAACATAGACATATCTCTCGAATTATTGGAAGTTTGATTTTCGTTTGTCTTTTTTCTTATTTAATTTTCGTAATTTTATATTTTTACATGGTATCAGGGTCTGATTCGATCTGCTCTATATATATCTTTTTCAATCTCTTCTTTTTTTAGTTTTGGATATTCATATATCCAAATCGTTCAAAGATGAATAAAAATCCAAAATCAAACAAGGTGTCATGACAAAAAAAAAGTTAACTTTAAAAACTCTAAGATCAAACGATATGTTATGATAAAAAGAGTTAAAAGCAGAGAACTTCAAAGTCAAGTGAAATTATTTGAAAATGGACAACGATATTTAAACTTTAATCAGTTATCTTAATAGGAAAAAAAGGTACAGAGACGAAAATATTGGATTATTACGGAGTAAGTTTTTTTAACAAACACATTTATTTTATTTAGGTTTTTGAAATTTTTTTTATCATATTCACATGAATATAACTTGTTCTTTTTATGATTAGGACTCATTGAGTAAATGAGACTGAACAAAATTCCAAGGAATTATAAATAATGCTTTGAATAAAAAAAATTAAGTAGATTTTATTTATACTAATTAATATAAATTATTGTTCAAATCATTTGAAAAAAATACAATAAAACTGATTTATAAATTTGTAGCTAGTTGTTGGGATTACTATCATTCGAGCAATCGAAACCCTGTTTAACATAAGTAAAAGAATAGAAGAATAATGCATGTTATCTATTTAGTATATCACCAAATGATTAAAACAAATGAAAAATAAAATTTTAGAATACTGATAATGTTCATTCATGGTAAAAGAAGATGAACTTTTTTTTATGAAGATTGTCCATACAAACGAAGTCAGTCTCAATACGAATACGATAATGTAAGTGGTAAATATGTTAGTAACTAAATTTCTCTCTATATATAATATATATTAACAAATCTTTCCATATTTATTTGTATATGTATAAATATCTTAAGATGAAACGTGTAGACAACATTGTTGAGTGATCGAATATGGATAATGTGGATATCGTGGCATTAGCAAGAAAATAACCGATCATAGGGATTATTCTATTATGGTAAAGATTTGAAGAATATCGTAAAAGAAATAAACTCAAAAGTGAATCGAGGTGATTATTTATTTTTTGTATTTCTTTCTTCTTTTATCTATATTTTGTTTCAGGTAGTAAATAAATGTGATGGTCGTGTAAGTAATTTTTAGAGTATCGCCAAAAGATCAGCTAGTGAAGAGAGAAATAACTTGGCACGTAGTTCTTATAGTAGGATATGAGATTAACGAGTATGGTAATGCACGACATAAGAAGAAAAATTTGATCAAACCTTAATCTCAGCATGACAAAAAAGAAAACAATACATATATAGTCTCTTAACATATTCTGTAATATATTCTTTTTTATTACTTTCATTTTCACTCATGTTCTAGATATTAGATTATCATGTATATCAACTCTTACAATGTCATTGAATCAATACACAAAAAACGTTTCTCTCACTTCGTTTCTCCTTTGATTCAAGAAATCTTTTATTAAGGAAACAAATCAGAAAAGAATAGAATGAAAAAAGTATAAATAATGTCAATAAGGAAAAAATGATATAAACACGATCGTGGAGCATATTCTAGTAGATTGACAACCTAAATTTCTTCATCACATGCTTCCACTCTCTTTATTAGTTCATTCAATTTTTTGTTCATGTGGCGTCCTCGTCGACTCTCTTGTCCGGTGTTGTTTGGTTGCATGTATCTTCGTTTCTTTGTCCATCAATAACATATTCATCTAAGGCCTTGCTTACTACTCTTCTCTTATTTTCAACATGCATCTTTTGTTTTTGTATGTAGAAGTTATTTAGACTTTATATGTATATTATGTCTTGTATTCTTTCTTGTTACCTTTTTTCTAGTACATTTTGGTTTTTATGTTAACCATATGTTCAGATAAATACATCTAAATAAAACAACATAATTTGATTTTTCCATTCTTTTATTTGTTTGTTTTTTTCTCTCTAGGAAACGGATGAAAAACATTGGAAGAAAGAAAGATAAAGGTAAAGAGATAGATGAAAATTCGAAAGAAGATAATGAAAAGAGTAATTACATTCTCAATAGTATTTTTTATTACTATTGATTAATAAAAAAAATAAAATAAAAAATTAATAATAAATATTTCAAATTGATTAATAATATGGACATGTATATTTAAGTAATAAAAATCAAACTATTAGCGGAAGAAGAAACAACAAAAAAGATGATAAGAATAAGAAAGAAAAAATAAGAATTATTTTCTCTATAAATAATGTTATTCAGTTAATATAAATATTGTTTTATATTATTTGTTTATAAATTATGAAAAAAATTTAATTTTTTTCTATATATTATCATGTAGGAGAAGGAGAAACGTTGAGATCTTTCCGATGAACATAAACTACGCTATGCAAAGTCTTTTATAACACATACATATACATATATTTGAATAACTAGTTTTATTTTTAAATGTGCTTTGCCAATACTTAAACTTTAATCATTTATCTTAACAGGGAAAAAAGGTAAAAAAGTGAAAGTGTCGGATCACTACGATGTAAATTCTTTTTAACAAACACATTTATTTTATGAAGGTTTTGGAAAGTGTGTTATCATATTCACATGAATATAACGTCTTCTTTTATGATTAGGAAACATTGAGTAAATGAGACTGGACATAATTTCAAAAAATTATAAGTAATGTTTTGAATCAAAATGAAGAAAGTAAGTAGATTTTATTTATACTAATTAATATAAATTGTTGTTCAAATCATTTGAAAAAAACTCCAAAAAATAATGGTTTATAATTTGTAGCTAATTGTTGGACGATTACTATCATACGAACAATCGAAACTCTATTTAACATCGGTAAGAGAATAGAAAAATAATACACGTTATCTATTTCGTACTATCACCAAACAAGTAAAACAAACGAAAAACGAAATTTTAGAATACAGAGAATATTCATCCATGTTAAAAGAAGATGAACTTCATTTTTAGGAAGATTGTCTGTGCGAACGAAGTCACTCTCAATACGAACACGGTAATGTAAATAGTAAATATGTTAATAACTAAATTTCTCTCTATATAATATATATTAACAAATCTTTTCATATTTATTTGTGTATATATAAATAACCTAAGATGGAAAGTGTAGACAACATTATTGAGTGCCCGAATATGGATGACGTGGATATCGTGACATTAGTAAAAAATAATCGATTATATGGATTATTCTTTTTTGATCAAGATTTGAAGAATATGGTAAAAGAAATGAAACTACAAGTGTATTGAGATGATTATTTATTTTTTGTATTTCTATCTTCTTTTATCCATATTTTAGTTGTATATAGTAAATAAATATGATGATCGTGCAAGTAATTTTTAGAGGATCTTCAAAAGATCAGCTAGTGAAGAGGGAAATAAATTGGTACACAGTTCTCATAATAGGATATGACATTGATGAGTATGTTAGTGCTTATTTTATCGTGCATAATGCGTGGGGCAATAAGAATTTGCACACATTCATAGAGCAAAACCGTAAGAGAAAGGAGGTCAATATTTCTCAAAGTTATATATCCCGTAAAGAAAAGATTTTCCGGGAAACCAAAACAAAAGAAGTAGAGACAAAAAGGTTAGTCGATTTTGCTAATTTTATAGTAATCTACAAATTAGAATAAACAACTTACTTCTAATTTTATTGATTTGATTTGAGAGAGAAAAATTGTACATGATTATATTTGTTAGAATTTTAGAACTTAACATAAAATTTCGTTTTATGATTGCAACTAATGAATTATAAAAACGATTAAATTAATAGAATAGTGATACCTTGTAACTTTAGATGAATTGTATTTGATATGATTCATAATTTGTTAATAAGATCTATTTTTTGTTATGTTTTGATCTCTTACTATATTATGATCATTTGTTTTGCAGATTGACTTTAATATCTTGCATTGGTTTCACTATTTGGTCGGCTTGCTTTCATATGTTTTTGTTTGAACTTTGAAGTGGTTTCACTCTTTTAACGGGGTATTATCAAAAATATCTTTAAAATATTAAATTGACTTCACAACATAACCTTGGTTTGGAAAAAAGAAAAATCACTTATGACAATACCTCTATAAATGTGTTATTCTCATTATAACCTTATATATTTTATCTCATCGAATTATTTTTATCTCTCCTCACGCTCGGTTTCCTACCTTCTCTCTCCTCTTTTATGATTAATTTCATTCAAAAAACATTATAATGCACGATAGAAATCATTATAAATTATAGAAAATTTTAATTAATTGATATATAATTTAGAAATATATAAGTATCATCCAAAACTCGATAATTATTTTAGATATTTAGGGTTTATTTTTTGTCATCCTCGCATTTGACCCTTATGATATAGATGAATCCAAATAAATGACAATTAGACATATATATCAGTATACATATTATTGTATAAACATATATGAATAAAAAAGAAGAGATACAGATATTTATGTATAATTTCTCTCTATTATTTTATAAGAATCTATAATTTATATTCGAATTATATAAATATAATTTATAATTTGTTGTCTTTTTATATAAAAAAACATTTATATAATTTATTAACTTTACATAAAATTTGTAGTACTTTTGTATAAACAAAATTATATATTTTGTTCGGTGTTATTAGTGCGACCAAAGTTGAACTTTGAACGGTGTGATCAACATAACTAGTGTAACAAGTATCTATTGTAACCAGTAACAAAAGTATGCCAAATTCAATTTTTTAAACTTCAATAAGATCAGTAGTGTTTAATAAAATATAATTACATTCGTATATGATCGTTTCTTCTGTCATAAAAATATTTAATACTAATATAATCATCTTGGTCTAAATTATTCCTAAAACACTACTAGCATTTAATAGATTCCTTTTTGATAGTGTTCTTCGACCCCTTAGTACTAATTCGACTTTAAGTTTAAAATATATATTACATTCAATGTTTAGTTATATTCGATGTTTAGTAGTATCTCATGCATTAAACGCGGTAAATTACACTAATTCGATTAGTGTGACCAGTTTGACAATTTTGACAACTGATAATTCC